CTGGCGGAGTGAAACGCCCGGCCGGCGGCCGACGGGGCCTTCAGGCGGCCGGGACGGCGGCTGGCAGCCGCTTTTTCATGTGCGCGCGGCCCCTTCCCCGGCGCTAGACATTTGGGCGGCGCTTTTTGTTGCTTTTTTCTCTCACAGACCCAGGGGCTTGCCCCCCCGCGCCAAGGGGCAGGAGGCATGTTTTTCGCCCGCCACGGGGGGGGGGGAGGGCGGGGGAACTAACAAGGTCGGCCGCCGTGCCCGGCCGCCCGCCCGCCCGGCGCTCTTAGCTGGGGCGACTGCGCCCAGGCGCGGGACCAATCTCCGTGTCACTTTGGCCGGGCGTGCGGGTGTCGGTGTGCCCGTGGATGTCTCCCTCCGTCCGTGCCTCTCGCCCGGGCAGGCGTATGAGTGGAGCCAAGGCCAGGTGCGGCCGAGCCCGCACAGATGAGGTGGGGCATCTTCGACCCGACGCCAGCGACATGCGCGGTCGCCCCCCTTCCCCCCCCCCCCCCCCCGTCCCATCTTTTGCGCCCTTTCATGATCGCCCTCCGCACACCACCGGTGCCCTGCCCTCTGCGTCACCGCCGTTGCCACCGCGGCCGCTGTTGCTGCCTCCTCTCTGCCCCGGTGGGTTTCCTCCCATGACGCTACGCCCTCATGTTGCCTTGCTGCCCGCTTCGCCTGCTGACGCCCTGCCCGTCCCCCCTCTCGCGCGCGCGCGCGCGCGCTCTCTCTCTCTCTCTCTCTCCCCCTCGGCCTCCCTCCTGGCTCTGCGACCCCAGTCCACTTGATGGACCAACGCGACAATCTGACCGGAGCCGCGCCTCACAGTAACTCCCCCCCGGCTGGCCAGCCGGCCACCGAGCCGCCGAGCAGTTCGGCCACCACCAACCCCGCCGCCGCCGCCGGTACTTTCAGTGATGGCGACAGCCTGGCGGGGCAGATCGCGGAGGATCCCGCCGAGGGTGTGTTTGTGTCGAACCCCCTGGCGGCCGGCGGCCCGACGCCGACGCCCCAGCTGCTTGCCTCGCTCGCCCGGGCCGGCAGCACCACCAGCCTCGGCTCGACCCTCCGACGTCCAGGTGCCGGGGGCGACGACAGTGCGGAAGCCTCGGTCCGGCGGGCCTTCAGCCTGAATCGACTGCGGGCCGGCGGCGAGATGGCCGGATCGCCGGAAGTCGGGGCCCCGGGGCCGCCGTCGGAACCCAAGGCCGAGGACCCGGCAGCCGCCACGGCTGCCGTGGCTGACCATGAGACCGATCAGCTGCTGCACGGTCTAGCCGGGGCCGGGAAGGTTCCCCCCCCGCCGGGGGCGGCCCCGGCGCCCGGGCGCCCCTTCACCACGGTGGACCTGCTGCAGGCGTCCATCCGGGAGACACGCCTGCATGAATTGGCCCTCGAGCGCGGCCGGCTGGTACGTGTGCCCCGGTGTCACTTGCGCGGCTGGTGGGCCTGGCCCCGGGCAGATGGGCCGAAGCGGCCACTGACACATGAAGCAGATCTCGCAGCGCAGCCGTCTGGCCGGCTGGCTCTTCAAGACGTGGACCGTCTCCCAGGAGGGGGTGGCCCTCTTCATAGCCGGTGCGTTTCTCTCCTCCTCCTCCCCCCCCCCCTCCCCCATCTCTGACCTTGTCGCTGGGCTGCGTGCGCAGGGATCATCATCGCCTTTGTGGTATGCTTCCTGGAGCTCTCGCGCGACTGGCTGAGCTCCCTTCGGCGGGGGTACTGCGCGCGAGCCACGCAGTTCTGGCTGGACCAGGAGGCCTGCTGCGCGGTGGCCGCGGCCCTGGCCCAGGGCACGTCCGTGAGCCCCGGCGGCGGTGGCCAGCTCCTGGCCCCGGTGTCGCCCGTGTCCGAGGGGATTGTCGTCGTGCTGGATACCCCCTGCCCGGACTTCGTCACCTGGGCCGAGATCATCGGGTCCAACCAGTCTGGGCTCCTGCTGCTGGTGCAGCTGGCCTTTGCGGTGCGTATCGCCGCACGTCGGCGAGGGCCAGGGGGCGGGGCCCTTGTACCGAGGCTGCTCTTTTGTTTCTCCCCCTCCCGGGGGACCTTCGTTTGTCCCCCTTGGTCCTGTCCTCCCCCCCCCCCCCCCCCCC